CTCTCTCTCTCTCTCTCTCTCTCTCTCTCTAATAAATAAAATTAAAAAAAAAAAAAAGATGTGTAAGGGCCTGAGTTCAATCCCCGGTTCCTAAAAAATAAAATAAAATAATAAATAAAATTTAAGAAGATGCTCATCATCAGTAGTCATTAGGGAAATGCAAACAGGAGCCACACGGAGAAGCCACTACACACCATTAAAGTAGCTAAAACAACAACCATGCCAAGAGCTGGAAAGAACAGGACAATTAAGACCTTTCTTGCCCTGCTGGTGGGAATGCAAACAGCACAGCCACTTTGGAATAAGCAGCTTCTTAGTGAAATACACTTAGCCTGTGACCCAATCATCCAATTCCTACTACTAAACAAGAGAGATAAGCTTTACTCGTGGTCACCAAAATCTGTACAATGTAATGTCCTTTAAGCCCTTCAAAGGTAAGAACCCCGAGGTCTGAGGGAGGCTATGGCACTGTCAGCTAAGGATCCCCATGGGGACACTCTGACACCCTGGACCAGGAAGACTAGTCAGCAGTGAAAAGGTGCTACCTATCCATGATACTGAAATCAACCGACTCAGAAGAGCTCATTCTGTGTGGTTGCATTTCTATGGCTTCCGGAAAGGACAGAACTATAGATGGCCCCTAACTTATAATGACATGACTTGATGACTCCTGGATGGTACGAAAGTGACATTCATTCTGCAGAAATAACATTTTTAAATTCTGAAATTTTCCCGAGCTAGTGATACACAAGCCAACTCTGCCTGACAACACTGGGCGGGCAGCAGCTCCTGGCCTGCCATGTACCTGTTAAGGGTGAAACACTGGTACAGCAAGTCCCTGACATGAATGAGTTCCATTCCAGAAGTCAGACTCATTCCTCAGTCTCACAAAGTGAGTCTTACACGATACACCTGTGAAATTTTCGTAACACAAATGTTTCAGGAACTAGCAGAAAGGGAAGGATCAACCCCCCAAATCAGTGTTAGCACCCCACCTGCCCTACATGTGCCCTTTGCATAGCTGCACCTGTGCCCACCAGCTGCAGCCACAATCCAGCCTTGTCACCAGCTAACCAATGACTCCCAAGCCACTGCTGTCTCCTGCCTTCTCCAAGCCTACCTGCTTAGCCCCTCTGAGTGTCAGAAGTGCTCAGGAGGCAAGCGCATACATTTTGTGGTCACTAAGTGGCAGGACATGGCCTTGCGCCTCCACTGCTCCCTCCGCAGGGCATGTCCACACTCTCCTCACCTCCCACGGAAGGTCCCCTCCCCCAGGAGAACAGGCTGCTCTCACGCGCAGCACCCCCACACCACGGGTGGAAACCTTCACTGCTGCCCTAATCATACTGACTTGTAATGATTGGAGGGGGGGGGGGAGTTTCTGGGAATTCAAGTCAGGACCTCACACTTGCCAGGCAGGTGCTGTGCTGCTGAGCTGTATTCCTGCCCCCACGTAAGGATCTGCTTTTCACCACTGTCCTGAGGGCTGAGGCCACACTACAGTCACTGAACTGTCTCCAAGCAAAATGAGTGTGTCATTCACAAGTGAGAGAAAATCACTAACTGCCAGATGCCCCTGGAACAGTCTGGAGTATTTCCTGTATGCTAAGGCAGGGTAGTAGAAATCCTGTGGACAGTCTGCTAACACGTTCAGCATGCTACTTGCTCAGGATCAACGCTACTTGCTCAGGATCATCGCTAAGGACCTGCCCAAAGAACAGGACCCATCTAACTGCAGGGAACAAAAATGGAAACTAAACTTTGTCAAAACAATTCTTCCTACTTTGGAAATGTTTGTTTGGATGATCTTAGGGGTTTCAAGTCCACTGCACTATTTCAAACCATCCTGGTCATGCCTGGGTGACATTAACAACATTATTCACACCTGTGGAACACCCCCCATACACACACACGGATGGGATATGTATGTTTTTATACATGACATAAAAACATACACCGGTCCGGGGACATAGGTCAGTAGAATAAGCGCTTCCCTGGCAAGTGCAAGGTCCTGAGTTCAATCCCTGGTACCGCAAATAAACAAACAAACAAGTAAAAACATACATCAGCGGTGCATGCAGGACTGGCTTCTATGAGGCACACAGAAAACTCTGTCTCACTTCATAGTGATGGGTCAGGCTTTCTTGAGCCAGAATAAAACTAGAACAGTCAAATATATCTTCTGGCTCAACCTTGACACTTCACACATCATCTGACAGGGCGTGGACTCTATTTCTAAGGTCTTTTCCAGATGTAAAACACTGCGCTTCAGTGTGAAAGTGTCAGGTCACCCAGGAATCACTCTACTGTCAGAAAACTCTGAAGGTGTAGTCTGACCCAGTTAAGATTGCCATTTGAGATGAGGTTCAGGTGGACATGGGGCCACTGCTCCTTGCTGGCTCCTGTCCATGGCCAGGGAAGGCCACCTGAGTGAGATAGCTCCAGGTAAGTGCCAGTGATTCCCTGTCAGACAGCTGAGAAGCCCAGGTGCGAACTGGCCAGGCACAGCCAGCATGCAACCCATTCCAAGGGCTTTCGTAGGCCCAAAGAACCTGAACAGTTTCATAGCCCTGCTACAAGCCCAAGCTCTTTCCAGTAGGTAAAGTCTTGCAAAGCAACACAGCACAGCAGAAAATCCGTGGGCTCTGGAATCTGACAAGCTGGGCTCCAACACTAATCACTGCTGATCAGCTCAGCACAGGAAGTCGCTCTCCTTCCCCAAGCCTCAGTTTCCCTGTGATGAGATGGGACGCACAGTGCCTGGCACCTGGCAAATGCTAACATCTACTTCATTCTCAAAAATAGGTAAACGTGTGACCCCATTCTCCTTCTCTCCAGAGGCAAATGCTTCATCTCCTCTTCCTGTCCTTGGGCCCACCCCATCTGCACTTACTTCATATGGTAGTGTCTCCCCATACCTGTCATCCAACTCTGCTCCATTCCTTGTAAGAGTGGAGCACCAAGTCTTTACATGAGAACCATGTCTCTACTGTCCTGTCTTGGCCACTGTCCTTCATCAGTGCCCTGTCCCTCTTGCACAGACCAGCTCCTAAGGGTGTGTCTAAAGCTACAGCTAAACTCTTCTCTTTCTCTCTTAGGATCCTAGTTTCTGTTCATGGTGACAACAGCACTGCCGCTGAGCTGCTCTGCACTGTTCCCTCTCCTGTGACTCCTTCCTCTGGCATAAAGGTTTCTTTGATGAGTAGCTGGATCCAGTCACTTCTGACCTCCCTGCTAAGCCTTCCTTCCCCTGGCACAGAGTACCAACTATGTGCCAGGCACAGGGCAAGGCACGGGACACACACTCAAGAGTCACCCTGCAGTCCTGAGCCCACCTCTGGGTGGGTTTGTCCTCTTCTCCCCTTCCAGCCCAGCAATTTGCCAGGGTCACCCTGACTAGTCTGGGAACTGTCTGTCAGTGACCCCTGCTTACCTTCTACACTGACCTTCAAGATTCCTGTCCTGACCCTCTGCCTGGCCAAACCAGTCCACTCAGGCCTGCACAGACTCTCTTAAGTGCTAGGCCCAAAGGCCCCCTCAGCTCTCTGATCAAAACAACCTGCTAGGAAAAAAATAAAACCTCAGCACCAGATATTTCTTTCTTTCAATGAGTTTCTGAAACTAGCCCTTTCACCCTTGTTTCTCAAATTCACCCACTGGGGACACTTTCCCCAGATGCAGGTTCTAAGTTCTTGGAGGAGGCAATTCTTCCCATGCCCTGTAACAATTATGTTTTGTTTCTATACACTGAAGTGTTATGTGTGGTGGCACACACCTGTCATCCCAAAGCTCAGAAGGCTAAGGCAGGAGGATCAGTGCAAGTTCAAGGTCTGCCTTGACTATATAAAGAGAATCTACCTCAAAAAGCCAACCATTCTGGTAAGTGCAAGGTCCCCAGCTTGATTCCCAGTACCAAAAACAACAACAAAAAAGCCAACCCTGCCCCCTCAAAACCCCACCACCAACATTTGGCTTTATTTTTGAGACAAGGTCTTGCTATATACTTCAAACTGGCTTTGAACTCGCCATACTCAGCAACACTGAGGTTCTGGAGGGATTGGGCAGAGGTCTCAGTGAGCATCTGAGCAAGCCCAGGCACATGCACACGTGGACACTGTTGCCATCTCGCTGCTTCCCCACGTGCGCCAGTCACGTGCTCTTAGCTCCATCCACATCAAAGCCTGAGTTCCTTATTTCTATGAGCGATCATTCCTCTTCCACCACTCAAGACAGGCAGCCACTGCTGCCCCTTCTGGCTCACTCTCTACAAGGTCTCAAGCCTCCCTTCTGTCCCTGCCACTGCAGCCCTGGGCACATTCGTAGTTTCTGACTGGAGGAATCCAGCCATCGCTCCTGAAAGGTTTTCTGGCCCTCAGCCACATCCTGCCCTGGCGCTTCTTGTGCACACCTGATGCCCTCACTCGAGTCCACCCTTCAGCCAAGCCCTCCGCCACAGACCTACAAGTACTGCCATGACTCACTTCAGGAGCAAACACCACTGAGGCGGCCCCACCTCCACATCTTTGCCCCTGCAACTCCTACCCCTGGTGTCACCTGCCTACCTCCTTCTAGCCCTCCAGCCTCACCTCCTCCAGGAAGTACTTGAGGATCTCCTGAGCCCACCCAGGCTTGGGTAAGTTTCTTTTCTGCTTCCACAGCAGCCAGTGTGTAACCATAGCAGCCCTCAGCAGGGGGGCTGAAATGACCTACGCCTACCCTATACACTATGCCTCCCCAGAGCCTAGTGCAGGGCTGGGTCACAGCACAGAAGCTGGGAGAGTGCAAGGAAGGGAAGCCAGGCTCACTCTCCTCCTCCAGGGCGTTCCTAGACACAAGACCTCAGGTCGCCTCTCCATGCCACTGCTGCCACCTAGGGACGTCAGGCTAACAGTGCACCTCCCGCGCCATTCAGCATTTAATTCAATTCAATAAATTGAATGGGATGGGAACACAAACCAGGGAACAGTTGATTCCAGTGGGGGTGGAGGAAGAGTGGCAGCTGGAGGAGGCACCGAGTGGTGAGTGAGCTCCAAGCTGGGCCTCTCGGCAGGAGGAGAAGGTCTCCAGGTGGATGAAAGAGAGCCCCGATCTCTGTACAGATGAGTTAGAAAGGAAAAAAGGGTTAGAGCAGGAAAGAACTGGTGTCCCAACTTTAGGGCTCTGGACTTTAACTTCCAAACCACTTAAATAGGTCGACAAAACTTGCTTTTTTTCTGCCAAAAGACTTTTAATCATGAGGGAAACAACTAGACTTGCATTACAAAAACCAACTCTTGTCAAGTGTGGAAAGATGAGGGAGATGGGAAGTAGCAAGAGAGAGGCAACTGATGGAAGCCCCAGGAAGACAGCATGAGCTCAGGTCTCACAGATTCCAGCTGAAGCTCTGTGTCTTCAAGCCAGAGCTTCTAGAGAAACATTTCCGGCCACATCTGGAGATGCTCATCTGTCCTGGCCTCTTCATGAACCCTGGAGCAGTAGAATTTTAAAACAGCCCCCAGCACAGGTTTTTCTTGTTGCTGCTTTGTTTTGAGACAGGTCTTGCCATATAGTTCAGGCTGGCCTTGAACTCATGGTGCTCTTCCTGCCTCAGCCTTCTGAGTGCTGGGATTACAGGACTGTGCTACCACACTCCACCCCAGCACTTCTGCACAATGGTGTTCAATGGCAACTGAATGGACTCCCTGAAACAACACCCCTCACAGTGTCCTCAGTGGTTCAAAGTAAAAGCTTTGAATCTCAGAGCCTGAGTTTAAATCTTGCCTTAGCTACTTTAGAACACAATGCCAAGTGATCCATCCAAGCCTCAGTTTCTCCATCTCTAAAATGGAAGTCATAATAGCACCTACCTCAACGGCTAGAGACCAATGCTTGTGAAGAAGTATCAAGCACACGACACACTGTCAATAAATGCTGGTGTTTCTTTTTAACATTGTGTATTTAGTGCCTACTAAATACAGCCTATGGGCTGCAATATCCTTTAAATCTGCACAATACTTTCCACTTTCCTGTTTTACAGGTAGAACGAAGGCTCAACAAAACAGTTCGTTCAAGGTCTTGGGAATATCTGCAAGGGTCTCCAGATATGAGGCTAAAAAAACTTTTAATGGAAGATCATTTAGCATAGTAGTGGTGGTCGTACACAAAGAGTAAGAGAGAGTAAAATAAAATAGTAGGAGAAGAAGAGGGAGAGGGCCCCCAGGGGATATCTGGCAATGTCTGGGGATATTGTTGACCTTCATAACAGGGGTTGGGGCAGGGATGCTACTGGAATCGTAGAGCTGCCCAACTTTCTACGATGCACAGGGCAGCCCCCAACCAAGAATTACGTGGATTCCCCCCGCCCAAAGTCACTAGTACCAGATTGGGAAATGCTTCTCCAGCTGGCACACCCCACCACCCCCCTTTCTGGAGCACTGGCCAGAGATCCCACATAAACACTTTCGAGAAGTGCTGGGGAGGGGGGAAACTCAGCTGTGTCCTTCCAGGGGCAGCCCCTTGCAAAAGTTCTCCTCCACCTGTCCTGTACACAGTATGTATTAGAGCCCCATTTTAATAAGCCTAGCAGAAGACACCGGAAAAGGAAGACCATCCATCCCCCATTGTTCCGTTACGTGCAGTTTATGTTTGCAACATGCACACACATTTTACAAATCCTAACGTCCTACGCCCCACTAACAGCTTTGTTAGAGATGGCGACCGAAAAAA